GAGTGACATTTTTTGCAAAATTTTCTTTTTGATGCAGAAAGGCATCTAGATGCTCTAAGAATATTTCTGCATCAAAAGGAAGATTTTTAAAAAATATCGCTTACGTTATTTTGGCGGTTAGAGCTCGATATGTATGTTTGTACAGTTATGCACATAAAATATGTTTGGTAATTTTTTCTTGAATTTGGTAACTTTTTCCGGTGATTTTGGTAAAAAATAAAAGAATTTGTGGCAACACTGCTTACGACGCGCTTGTGTATGTGCCGTAGAAACACAAAGTTTGCGTATTCATAAATTTTCTTCATTTGTCTACCCAGTTGGGAATGAATGTCTAATATTGTCGCTATATTTGTATTTGCCTTCCATTCTCGTACATCCACAGCAAAGTTAACAGGCATTCACGGCGGGCGCACATTACTTATGCATTTTCTGCACTGACTTGGCTTATAATTTCAACTCAAAACTCAAAACTTCGACTCGTCTCGCTGCTGCGCTTAGCGAAATGGTGACAGGTTGACCTGAACCGTCTAGAAAAGGGGCCAACACGTTCACACTTTAGCTTCCTTAAATATTCCGCTAGACCAGACACCGTAATCGTTGTATGCATTTCTTCTTCGTCTACTTAAATCACGAATCGAACTCCACTTATTCTAGCCATCAAACTTCGATTGTGTCGAATAACGGTACATCAACTTGCTAAGTTATGAATTATTATTATTTACGTTAATACATAACTTTGTGTGTTTTTTTTTGTTTGTTTGTTTGTTGTCCTATTCTTTGAATTGCCCACCTTTTTTAACAGTGTGCTCCAGAATGGTACATATCTACATACATAGCTGATTTTTTTTAATTATACATATTTTTTCCTGTTTCGGAGAATTTAAAATCACATTAGTTTATAGCGAACCGAAATCACAAACAAGCTGATAAACTGCTATCTAAACAATCGATATATTCGCGGGTTTGCCATAGTGGAAACATACAGAGGACACGGTCACATCAACAGCGAAGTTTCTGAAATGAGATCAATTAAATCGTATGTAGGCAATAATGTCATGTCAGCTGTTTGCTGCAGAACCGACCAAAATGTTTTGAGAGCAAATAAAAAGTTGTCCGGACACGAACGGTGAACGCGCCTTGAATATTCCCAAGGATAGTCAGTTAGGTTAGGTTGTAGAGCAGTTATGCCCAACGCTGGCAGAACTCCATAAGCAAGTGCCCTGCGCTGGGCATGCCTGTTGTGTGGTAAACTTTCCACCACATAGGCCTGCTTTGGGTGTATGTACAATCGAAAGAGGTCTCTATTGACATAACTAGATTTGAGATTTCCAGATATTGCCGAAGCTAGAAGGGTATTGCTTTATAGCCAGAGTAACCCCCGTTTCGATTTTTCGTGGTGTAAAACGCGACTTTGCTTCTCATGGCCTCGTAATTCCGAAACACTGTAAGCAGCTCCTGAAGATATAACAATAGCCATTATATTGAATTTGAATGCACCCCTGAGTCGTAAAGTATTTTTTGAACCCAAGTTTGAAAATTTTGCTTACCGTTTGGCGTTTTTAACCGACTCCAAAAAAAGGAGGGAGGTTATCAGTTCATCGGAGTATTTTTTTATGTATGTTACCGCATATCTTTGGACCACGTTAACCGATTTTGGAGGTACCTAATTTTGTTTAGAGCCGATAATTGGATCGTGAAGAAATGAAAGATAATCTTAAATTTTTATGTGAGAATTGAAGTCGGTTTTGTTTTTTGCTTAAAAATTGCTTGTTGCATTTTTCGTCATATCTTCGGCATTTTTACAGTCGGATCTTAAATAATAATATACGATTTTTTTGTTTTCTTTTTGGTTTTGTTTTTATTGTTGTTTTCTTAATGACAGTAAATTAAAGCTCAACAGAAATTATAAAACTTTTGCTAAGGAAGTATTTCTATTACTCCAGTAGAACTATTTAAAAAATATTTTATTCCCGCTGTAGGTTTCACCGAAAAAAATTAAAAAGTCGGTACGTAAAATTTTTTTTTTTCCAAATTTCCTTGCAAAAATACTTTTGTTTGCTGGTGGTGTATGGTCTAATTTACATACAAGCCATCGTTGTTCGCTGTAAAAATGAATATTACGCAATTTTCATGCATGAATTTAATTTAATTCAAACAAAATTTGAAAAAAGCTAAACCTAAAAAATTTAATAGTTTAAATTTAGTTTTTAAAGCCAATGTCGCTTCACTTACATATGTATGTACATATTTGCTGAGCATTATTGCGGTAATCAGTTCCGTGGAAAGTTTTAATTTTTCTTGGTGAATTACGAAGTACATTCAAAGCTGATTGCATCCCACACGCTTCAAAGGTTTTTAAATGCAACGGTTTAAAATACACATAAACATTTCTGTATACAACTTATTTTGTACAGAAATGCATATAAAGTAAGAATCAAAAATAGCACTGAAAAATCAACAGAAAGAAAAGCATTCATATACAACTTACATATGTAGTACATACATACGTACTACCATGTACATAGATGCAAATGTATGTAGGTCACAACGAAACCGTGAAAGTGCATTTATAATTTGTCGATTGGCTGCAAATGCGAGTGCAGCGGAGTTTATTGCCTTTTGCCGCGCATATCGCTTACGCTACGCCATATATGTACATATATATACATTCATACATATGTATATATGTACATAGTGCTATCAGCAGCAGTTATGACAACCGCTACTTTTGTGATAAAAGCTCAATAATTCACACAAAATAGTTTTTTGTTATATTTTTTTTTGTTTTTTTTTTTTGTCCCAAAAATGATGAAAAGGCAACGCCGAAATCAGAAACGCACTTTGCCATTGAACATAATTCAGCATATTTTACGACCGGCAATTATAAATACCAAATGGACTCTAAACCATATTCTTGCTAACCAACAATCATCAGCCGAACAAACAGACGCATCGCAGCCATAATAATTATTCATATGGCGGGCGGACGGTTGTTTTGACTAAACATTTCCGAGTGCATTGCACTTTGGTAAATTTTTTTGTTTTTTTTTTGGTTTTGTTCGAGCTTTTGGATCTTTGTTTTTGTCTCGGTTAACTTATTTTACATAGTTAATAAGTTGTGTAAATGACACTATTATGAAATATTTAATTATTAAAACTGCGCATACTTTTTTATTTATTGTTGAAAATTTGCTTTTAACTACTACACAAATAAGTTACTGTAAATTATTTTTGCGTGCGATATATTTGCATTTCTGTACTAGGTCTTCGAACTAGCGAGGCAGAAAAAACACAAAACAGTAAATATTTTACACCACTCTGAGCCTTATACCCTTTTTCGTAATTTTTTTTTTGGAAAGTGGTCCTCGCCCACTATATTTGTATATGAAAAATCGCTTCATCAATCTGTATCAAATTTGGCGGACACATTGCGCCTGACCTTTTTAAACACAGTCTTGAATGTTTGAAATCGGACAATCTAGAAATATCGCTTTTGAATTTTCGAAAATTACCTTTTTTTTACTTATAACTCTTTCTTCTTAGTTTCTTCAATAGATTTCAAACAATTTGATGAATAATTTATTTTTATGCGTTCAATTTAAAAATTTACGTATTTTCAACGTTGAATGCGCTAATTGCAGCGCAGGGAGCCAGGTTTCAAGAATAACGAATTCTTCAACGGGGTGAAAACTTCAATTAAATTTTCAGTTGGGAATTTTTCAATTCAGAAAATTGATCTACGATTCGTGTAAAGATTGTTTTCCTTAAGAAAAAAAAAATTACTACATATCGATACCTGAGTGGAAGATTGACCTATTTCGGCAGCCTTCTCGAAAACTCCCTATTTCAGAAAACTTTTCAAGAACGCCCTATCTCAGAATTCGTTTCAAAAACGCCCTATCACGGCACATTTTCAGTGTACTTTCAGCTGAGATAGGGCGTTCTTCAACCGAATTCTGAGATGGTTACCAGTCGCGCTACACTTCCGCAGGGCCTGGGTTCAAGTCCGGTTCAACTCAACATCAAAAAATAAGAAAAAACAAAAAAGTTTTTTTCTAATAGCGATCGCCCCTCGGCAGGCAATGGCAAACCTCCGAGTGTATTTCTGCCATGAAAAACAGCTTCTCATAAAAATACAATAGCCGTTCTGATTCGGCGTAAAACTCTAGGTCCCTGCCCTTTGTGTGACAACATCAAGGCGCACGCCACAGATCGGAGGAGAAGATCGGCCAGACACATAACATATGTGTGATAGGCAATTTACATGAGGCGATTTTTCATGCGATTTTTAGTTGAAAGCAACAATCGCCTGGTGTAAACGGCCTTTCAACTAATCGCTTTCAATGAAGTTGGTCGGCTGCCTACTTTCGTTCAACTTTTGGTTCAACTAATCGCCTGTGAAAGTTGAATCATGTAAATTCCCTATAAGCGCCAATCTGTTATTATTATTACGGCCTTATTAGTCTGAAATGTGAGAAATTTTAAAACAAAAATAGTTTGTTCCTTAATTTTAAGGTACAAGGCTACATTCAATTAAGGAATAAGCGACCTTTATTTTAAAATTTTTCACATTTGAGACTACTTTAAGTAGGTAAGTGCAAAAAAAAATGTTTTGAGTTGGGCCACTTCTGCTCTCATGGCCTCATTTGTATGCGTGTATGTCCATACCTACATAAGTATATTTACATGTGTACGAGTCCGTCAGTTTATATACATATATGAACGTACATATGCATGGGCTTAGCCTGGTAGGGGCAGGGGGGTGCTTGAGCCCTCCCCCTAACTTTCAAATTTTCCTTATATATATATAAAATAGTACCCTGAAATGCCAGCTTAATAGGGTCGAGCCCCCCCGCCCCCCCTAAATTTCATTCTGGCTATGGCGATGTACATATGTATGCACATATACACTACCCTCGTTGTATACATTTCAAATCTGTGGTGTCATATCTGTCAGACAAATGATTAATTTATGTATTTGCTCTTTGTTGTCTTTACAGAATTGATGATTAATTTCGGTGCCCGAAAACAGTAGAGCAAAATAACAAAAACAAAAAAGAAATGCGCAAAATAGCAAAGCATCAACGAAACCCAAACGATTCCAACAATTAATCTGAACGAAAATTCGAACAAACTACAAATAAAAAGGAATAACAGAAGATAATAAAACATAACATAACAGCAATTGCGGCTTTAGAGATTGTACTCACACTGCCGAAGAAAGCATCAGTAGCCGAAGTAGAAAATATTAAAAGAACAATAATTAAAAAGCTGACGAAACGTAGCAGAAATAAGAAAAAAGTAATTGAATTAAAAAAAAAACATAAAAATGTCGAAACGTCAAAATAATTCTTCAAGTTGTTTGCCGCGGCTTTTGATACGCGTGATCTTTAGCGAAGACATCAGCGGTTGAGCTAGTCGTTCCTAACGTAAAGTGACTGAAAGTCAAAGTGGCTAATCGTAATTGATGTGCCAATGTAACAGTGGCGAGATCGATCTACCAATGACAAAATCAAAAGAAGCAGCAATTAGTGATTAGAGGACAACGAAGTCTAAAAGTGTTAACAATTAGTGGCAATTATCGTAATTGTTGAGTATTCTCAAAAAGCCGAAATAAAATAAAAGAGTTGTTATATTTTGAGCTAAGTGATCTTGGAGAAGTGAATTTATCAACATGGATTTGAGCTTGGAACGCGATAGTTCCGCGCTGGGCAGTCTTTTCCAGCAGATCATCAATGATTTGAAGGTAAGTAACAAATACATAGCATAGCATGTGTGTACTAAGTATTTATATATATGTATTTCTAAATATCAAGTTCATTCTAGAAAAGCCTTGCTTTTTCCGTACGATTCATACTATTGGACAAAAAAAAAAAAATTATTTCTTCACAGAATTATTCCATTTTTAAAATTTTGAAAAGAGCTTGGCCTTGAAAATACATATATTCAAAATAATGTTGCAGAGCTGGCCTTTGAGCACAAAAACATAAATAAATTAAGCTCAGTGAAGCTTATCAAATAAAGCGCACTTGTGCACAACGGTATTATAACTTTGTTCACATAACGGTTGTTTGTAACAGGCAAAACGAATCGAGATAGTTATAGACAAATATACATACATATACATAAATGATCAGAATGAAAAGTGAAATCGATTAAGCGGTGACTGTCTGTCCGTCCGTCTGTACACACGATAACTCGAGTAAAAATTGAGATTTCTTAACGAAACTTTGTACGTGCACTTGTACGTGCCTTGCTACAGCATACCAAATCGCTGAAAATTTTTTAAATCGGACAATAGCCACACCCACATCCCATATAACGGTAATTTGGAGAAATACGAAATCTTCGATAAAACAGTAAATATTAAAGCTAATTTATTCAAAATTGATGCTTGCAACAATTCTTTACCAAGAAATACGTTTATGATAAAATTTTAGAAAATGGGTGTGGCACCGCCCACTTATGATCACATATATGTATCTCGGTAACCGTTGTACCAATTTGTACCAAACTCGGTATTTTTATTGTGCTTGCCACATAAAAGCAAAACGTTGAAAATTATTGAAATCGGACTAAAATTTACGCCGCTTTTCATATAACGGTAAATTTCAGAAATGCTTGAAACTTCAATATTTCGCAATTTAAGGACGCTAATTTACTCAAAATGGCTTACCATGTAGCGGTAGCTTTCGGAAAGGTGAAAATCATATATTTAATACTTGCGCCGGGTATTTAATGTTCGCCTCCGCCCGAACTTATACTTTCTTACTTGTTTAGGCTTGAAGTGATACACAGCCAAGTGCCTTAATCGTCACCGGCGGTTAGAACTATTTCCGATAGCAAAGACTTCACCATGAAAAACACTGGCCGAATTTGCTAGTCGAATGGACTTTCTTACTATTACTTTGATTAAAACATTGTGTTGAAGTTAAGTCTATGCTAGTAGTACGCTGTTTCCATAGACGTAGTTCCTGCAACGCTTCAGTTGGACATAAAATAATGTTGTCCACGAAATAATAGGAGTTCAATATTTTGCCCAGTTTTTATTTTTCTTTTGTTTGTTTAATGTTTATTAATTTTTTTGTAAAAGTGTTGCCATTATCTAACACAAACCATATAAATTCCAAACTCAAACTTTGCGCAAATATTATAAATACGTTAATTGTAACAACAAGTATTTTTAAAGCAAGCTTTCTAAATATGAACGAATTGGGTGGGACCATAAATACTGGTTTACCAAGTATATCGACTCGTGCGCCACCTATCGGCAAAATTTTTAGTGGAGTTATTCCTTTTCGTGTAGTTAATACGTTCTAAATATGAACCAAATCCGACTATAAATACGGGGTTTTTTAAATAACTCGACTCCTGCGCCACCTATCGGCTTAACTAATTTTTCGTATAGCATTGTCATCGGGTTCTGAGCCAACTGTGAAGTTTCAAGTCTCTAGTCATCGGGAAGTTGGTCAAAAATTGATTGCAAGATTTGCCACATACAGAGCAAGTTAAATAAAAGCTTGTAAAATTAATAAATTTTTACCAAAAACTCCAACTTTTTTTTTAATTTTCAGTAACACTGGTATGCAGCTTTATCACCCAATAACTTTTACTATAATAAAGTGCGAGTTTCAAGCGGCTACAAAATGCCATTGAGTTTTGCAATTTTTTTTTTTTTGTTTATTGACAGTGTAACACATTGCTCGACAATTGTTTTTATATGCAAGAAAGTGCCTAGCACCGCAAAAATGGTGGATTAGATAAACATTAGAGACATGATGGAGCGAAAAAACAAGAAATGCTCCATAGTATCAGTGTCGCGGAGGCGATAAAGATTCTGTGACCTCTATCGATTTCTGTCAACTTTCTTTGTCAAATTAAAGTTCATTGTTTTTTTTTCTTTTGCCTTATCCTTTGCTGTTTTAGACCTCAATTGCGTAGACAGAAAGAAGGCTAGTGTGCATATCCACATCATACATACAGGATGGTCCATATAGTGGAAAAGACATTCCCTTTATTTATTGAACATTAATTCATTCATGTGGCTCCCTCGGCTGGTTTCGCAGTAACACATCCTGTTAACCCAACTTTCCAAGGCCTTGAAGACGGTTTCTGGTACTATCTCACGAATGGCTTGCTCGATATTCGCTTTAAGGGCCTAAATCGTTAATGGATTGTTCGCATTACATCGGTTCTTCAAGGCACCCCACCGAAAAAGTCCAACGGCGTCAAATCGCGGCACCGAGGTGGCCAATTGACAACGTCGAGGCGGCTGATAACACGATGCTGAAACCAAAGATCGTCTCAAGTTCGTGACCGAAATGGCGTTTCCAGCAGCACTTTCAAAAAAAAAACAAAATAAATAAAAAATGGGTCAATGATGCCACCGCTCCAAAATACCCGCTATATGGACCACCCGTTGCATGTGTACATACGCACATACATATGCATATTAATTTGAGATTATCAAAACAAAAAAAATATCAAATAACCGAACAGTGCATGCCGTGTTGGCATGGCAGAGAGTGGGGAGCTCTCGAAGCTACCTTTGTTCTTTGCTTGCCTTTCTTTGTTTATTCTAAGACCTCACAAACTGTACTCAAATTCATATTCTGTGGGCATCATCGGCAAGGCAACAGCTGAGGTCTAAAAAGTCGAAGTAAAAAGTGGTGAAAGAAAAGCACAAGAATGGCGGCGGCAGCAAGGTCATCAGCAGCAGCGTCTTTAATGTGTATTCAACTGTCCGTTGCGCTCGTGTCGCTCGTGTAGCTACAGATGTGTTTGAGGAGCATGTGATATGATTGGAACGGTGAGCGAGACGAACGGAGAAGCGCATACGAAATTGGTAAACAAGACAATTTAGCGTACGTTTTTTTTTTTCTAGCGGACTTGTGTTTTTTTTTTTTGAAATTCGTGTATTTCTCACGCATGCATTACGAATTCTGAACGGGTTTTCAATTTTCTTGAATGCGCTGCGTTTGCGCTGAAAATCAAAGGGTATATGTATGCGGCCCACTAAATTAGATGAGGGTAGGGACTTTTGTTTTCTATTTTTTTTTTGATTTTCAGTAGCCTATTAGGCTAAGAAATATGAATACATTTTTTTTTTGTTAGTCGCACGTAAAATGTAATTAATGGATGTAGCCATGTGGATTTCGACTACACAAGTGAAAATGTTTGCTTATTAAAAGCGTGACCTTCAAATATGTGTGTATATATATGTATGTGTGTTTGTATATAAATTAATTTACTGCCTTAGACGCACTGTGAAAATATGTATACACAAGTTGGTTTTTTGCTTTATTATTTGGCACTTTGGCAAGTTCAAGTTGCAATATTTTTCTTTTGAACTGCCTGCTTAAAAAATATATTTTCAAATATTTGGTTTCTCCACGGTAGAGTCCGACCGATTCAAATTTTTTTTTCAGGTACCGATGCCGATGCTGATTAATCGGCTTACTATAATATATAGTATTGTACTATTTTTTCGGTCAGCGTATTATCTACTGTTGAGACAAAAATATAGTATGCTAATTTCTTCAATTAAAAATATAAATATATTTTAATAATTTGCAAGAATAAATGTGTATTAAAATGAATAAAACCTTTATATTGAAATATATATTTTTTATAGAGAAATGCATAGGAAAAAAAAGATATATACTTAGCAAGCGTTTTTACTTTTGCTTTTAAATAAAATACTATACATATTTAAAGGTACTATATTTTTTCAGCTTTTTTTGAAAAAGTATTATAAATTTCTATAAATTTCGGAACCTAGTTCCGAACCACTTTTTGTCAAGTTGTAACGTATTGTTTTTGTTGTTATTTAATTTTGGTTATCTTTTTATAAAAATATAGGGCATTCTTTAACAAAATTTAACAAAATCCGTGTTAATCCAAGTTTCCAACTTTGTGCAATATTAAAAAAAAAGTCAACAAATTTTCGTAAACATTTCGAGCTTCTTTAAAAATTCAAAAAGATCAACGGTAGTTTTTAACCACTTGATACTTGTACTTCATTCTACAGAAATTCAATGGGGGAATTCATACTCAGAATCTAATTGAAAAAATCGAAATTTTTTCGAAAATTTGTTGATTTTTTACGCAAAACCGCGTATGTGAAGTTGCATAAATCACTTTCCAGAGAGTAAAAACACTCAAATTTCAAAATGGTTCTCTTTGCAATCGCATTTCTGGTTAGTATATTTCAGGACGAATGGATAAGGATTGAGCCAAGAGCTTGTGTGAGCAAATCCAATTTTTGGCAGCAAATGTCAGTTACGCGGTTTTGTACTTTTAAACGACGATAAGTCGTTGATCAGAGTTTTATGGACAGGCTGCTTTGCTGGCTGCACCCTTAAATCGCATAACATTTCTAGTATTCTATTTGCAAAACATCCTTCTAGCCCCCCTGTTTTCGTATTCATAAAGCGATCGCTAAGTTGTAACTGCATCTTAATTGCGCTTGTCTGCCCGCCTGCAGGCTACAGCCGCTCAAGCTCGAGCGCAGATACACCTTTGTACCACCGAACCCATCAACCGAATGCGATCACAGATAATGTCACATTACATTGCTATGCCAAATGTCAACAACAGCGCACAGTTTTTCAGCGGCATTCGATTGTGCGAGATTTCATTTTCGATTAGCTTACAAAACACACACACAACTGAAACAAATTTGTTCACGGCATTTAGATTTATTTGAGAATTGTGGTGCGGCGGCTGTGGTGCACCGGCCGCAAA